TAGGGACTGAGGAGAGAGCCTGGGAATTGCTAAAGAAAGGATCAACAAGCACATCATTGAGAAGCGGCCTCTGTGCTGCGTAAGTAGAATGCTAATGAATTTGTTCTCATTCTTGTCAGCAGATCTGCTTCATACTTTAAGTCTGGTTTATGAACCGATTATGAACAACAAATTCCTATTGAAAAGGAATACAATGAAATGTGTCACCTTGTTTGTCTTTCTTTCTCTCTCTCTCTAAATGGACTTACCCTAGCAAAGCAATTCAGTAGACGCTTATCAAAATCATCCGTCACCCTGCCTCCATATTGTACTTCTCCAATCATGTACCGCACTGTACTCCAGGACACGCCCTTTATTGAAAGAAGAAGTATTGTCAGTCAAAACAAACCGTTATCAATAGGTTCAGACCTTTCCCTAGAGGAAACACGAGCTGCCTACATTTAAGCTCGTTCATTATTCTATATGAATAACCCCCTTAACGACTAGGGGGCGGGCACGGCTAAGGTTGGTTCACCAAAGAGAAATCTACAATACTGAGCGCTAGTGAATATATTTAAAAGATTATTTAAAAGAGGTGGAGAAAAGTCTATTTTTCACTCTATGGGTTTAATCATCACTCATCCTTATTATATTAATGCCAAGCTGTTGGAGAGGGGGAAAAAAGTAGTGTTTTTGTAGAGAAAAGAGAAGATGAAGTCATCAACACTTTAATAGGTTTTCTCAGTAACATATTTTCTAGAATCAGTGTAACAAGTAGAAAATTACTTATTCACAAGATCTTTCTACAATACAACCCTCATTCTGTGAGCTACAAGTACACCCAAATTTTCACTGATTTCTATAGCAATCCTCAGCTAACAATATATTTCAGGTATTAATTTTTTTAATTAATTAAAATCCCTTTAATATACTTGGTGTGGGCAAAGGAGAAGGAGGCTTGATTTTGATTTACTTCCCCTTGGTTGAAATTCTATTCTTCAGTCAACTGTTTCAAGTGAACTATTCTTCATATGTGACAAAGTGATAAACCGTCCCAGAAGAGGTGCCCAAACAATACAATTCTTCATCGACCGGCCTCCTCTGAATCTGCTAGGTTCTTAATTTGAATACCCTTTTCCCATTTCAAGGAGAAATGGTGGTTTGACCCACAAGCCCCCACCCACCCAGGGATAAATTCATCATGGCTCTCCGTCATCATTCGGTTACTGCATCTTCTCTGTTCACCTTATAGACCTACTGTGGGCTAACATGAGGCGATTTGAAGGAAGGGAGTAGGAGGCAGAAAGAAGCTGGTATCTATTAAGCCCTTCTAAATGCAGCAAATGCTGCACTTGCCCCAATCCTCCCCCTTTCAGTATTTGCAGACACAATGGCCATTTTATTGATGGGGAAACTGAGGCTTTGAGAGGCTCATTCGCTTGCCCAAGCACCTGGAGAAGCCGGGTTACCATTCCATTCTATGAGCAGCCGGGTTTGCAGGTTTACTTCTAGGATGTTAAAGACGTCTCTGATTCTCTTGTTGGTTCCCTCATGAATAAAGTGGGGGTGCCGACATCTCACAGATTCCTAAGGATGGACCTGTGGTCCTTCAAACACAAGCGCTGACATCCATGAGTATGCATGAGATGAAAGGTCAGCTAAGAAGCGGGAGAGACCATGCTGACTTTTGAGGCATGGATGACATCAGGGAAGACATTTTTATTTAACGCAGCGGTTTTCAACCTGTGGATCGCGACCCT